TTTTTTTTTTTTTTTTTTTTGGTGACTTCAATGAACTTAAGCATCATTCTCGGGTTCATCTCATTAATAAAAACACTCATAAATTTTGTATTTCATCGTAAAGGTAGACTGGCACCGACAATATTTATCCACTTTTTAGGAGAAATTAACTTAGTACGATGTATGTTATGATTTGTTTACAAAATAATCATGTTGTCGGCTGTTAGACGTCTCACCATCGTCATCATCATCCTCGTCCTCTTCACTTTTTTGTTCATCAATCTTATAATAATGACGTAACCAATTCCCCGATTTACTCTTTGGGCTGCCTTGCTTATCTAATAAAGTCAAAGACGAAGAGAACATCTTCTCTACAAACATCTGGTCGAACCGTGAATCAATAGAAACTGTTAGTTTACGTTTGAGAACATTTTGAAAGGAGGAGAGGATCAAAATGAACTGACGAGAATCGAGGGTTCGTGATGATATTCTTCTTGTTCGAGCTGATGCTAGTATTCTCCGAAGTTCAAGAAAGAATTATTGAAGATTGTTGAGAGGAATCTAACTTTGACTAATTAAGGAGGTGATCACGACATAACTAATTCAAGCATGTTTAAGAAAATTTAGAGCATGGTAAAAAATTTAATATTTTTATTTCTTTTACTTAATTTTTTTTTAAAGAAATATAAATATAAACAAACTAATTAATAAATAAATAAATATGATTAACAATCGAATCTAACCCAAATTTTAAGATTATTATGAAGATTAATAATATATTTAACATGTGTAACAAATATTAGTGTTGTATTGTGACACGCAAATGCTTGATATTTGAATTTTATGAGATTTTAGTTATTAATATGATATGTATCGATGATTAATTAAGATATTTTAAATAAAAAAATGAATAATTCGATAACTTAACCTAATCGAACAAGAGAATAGAGGGTTTGGGTAGTGAACTCTATTTAAGTTATTCATCTCACCAACCCAACCAACTCGAAATTTCAAGTTGGTCTAAAAAATTTCCCGACCCAACTCATGTACTCCCATATTTTGTTTGTAATAAAAAAACTGAATGGTTTATAAACATAAATTCGTGTAACTCTAAACCCTAAACTTGTTCAAATCTCCATCTCTCATTGTAATAAGAAGCACTCGAAGTTCTCGAACCATCGCTATCTCGAGAACACGTAACAACTGATGCATGAAAAATAGGTTACTTTTTAAGGATGAGGCGTTTTGAAGCATGAAATTCCAAAATAACCCACATAAGAAAATGGCTCTTCAACTATGTCTCGAGCCACTTTTTAATTATTTTTTCAAAAATTAAATAATTTCAAAATATTCCCAAAATATATATATATAAAAAAAAGTATAAAAGTATAAACTTATACGTACGTAATTGGAACAGTTTCAGGATCACTAAAGATTCCAAAGAAAAGAAAAGAGAAAGTGAAGGAAGCTTAGAAGCCTTTCAAATCGATGCCATTTTTAATTTTTATTTATTTATTTAAATTTATTTATAATATATTGATATCAGCAACCTATCCTTAAGGAATAATATATTTTTCTTTTTCTTTTTCTTTTCAACAAAAAGATTATGTTTTTTTTTTTTTTTTTTTTTGGTGAAATCCATATATTTTATTAAACTTATGTTATAATTAAATAAAAATTATTATAGCACATGTATTTAATTAATATTTGGGCTATTTTTAACAATATTTTAATATCATTAACATTTGAAATAATTAACATAAATATTTGGGTTAAATAAAGCTAGATTAGAATAAGTTCGAGGACATGTTTGAATTTTTTTTTTTTATTCTTTATGACATTATTTATTCATATATTTTTTGTTACTTGGGAAATTAAATTATTAAAAAGTATAGAAATACAAGCATATTAAAATTTCAAATAAATAATTTAAAAAAAAAAGACAAAAAATAAAAGATAAATTGGCATAATGTTGGGGACCAAGCTGCAATTTTTTTATTTTTTTTAATGTACGGTTTTTATATATATATATATATATTTTTGGCTGCAATGGACATGCAGAGATTTGAAAGGGAAATAAGACAGTTAAGGCTGAGCTCGTTTGTCTTTTCATTGCCCTTTCTTTAACCAAAAAACCAAACAAACAAAAAGTCAACTTTATTGACCACAAAATGTTGGAAATTAGGTTGATTTTGTTCCACTTATACTGATATTTATTTATTAGATGTTACTCCAACGACTTAAAAAGACATACGTAAGTATAAAAAAATATTGTTAAAGATTATAAACGTCACTTTGGGACTCATGCAGATAGCTACCCTATTGAAAGGGTTGAAAGAGCTAAAACTTTTTCTTTAAGTTTACTCAAAAACGGAAGTCACGGTCGGAGTCTTATCGAATTCTTCCCGAACAAAGCGAATCCCTTCTTTTTGGGTTTTAGACATGTAGATAAAATGTCAGTAACTTGATGTTAGCTTCTATGACATAAGGTTTAAAGAAGAGAGCTATCAATAATGCATTTGTGAGATCTCACATCGATTAGAGAGAGAAACAAAACATTCTTTATAAGGGTGGAGACCTCTTCCTAGCATACGCATTTTAAAACATTGAGGGGAACACTAGAAGGGAAAGCCCAAGGAGGACAATATCTGCTAGTTGTGGGTTTGGGCTGTTACAAATTTTATCAGAGCCAGGTTTCGAGCAGTGTGCTAGTGAGAACACTGAGCCCTGAAGGAGGGTGGGCATCGAGGTGTGTGCCAGCAAAGACGCTGGGACTTGAAGGAGTGTGGATTGTGAGATCCTACATCGATTGAAGATAGAAACGAGTGTCAGTGAGAATGTTGAGCCCTGAAGCAAGTGGGTGGATTGTGAGATTTCACAGCGGTTGGAGAGAGAAACAAAGTATTTTTTATAAGAGTGTGGAAATCACTCCCTAACAGACACGTTTTAAAACTTTAAGGAGAATCCCGAAAGAAAAAACCCAAAGAAAACAATATTTACCGGTGGACTTGGGCTGTTACAACACTAAAGTCAGTAATACAAATTTAGCTCGTCTCTGACACTCCACTAGTTCAGAGTTTTTAGCTGAAAACGAATTTGGAGAATTAAATTAGATTATTATATGTAAATGTGGTAGAAGAATAGCATAAATTATTGACTTGAAATTTGATAATTTGATGGTGTTAATCATAAGGGCTAAGAATTGAAGGGTCTAGAGAATTCTTTGGGGGCAAATGAAAAAGGAAGAAAAAAAAGGACATTGTTCTTCATTTGGATGCGAATCCAAAAAATTAAATAAATAAAAAAGAAAAAAAAGGGATATTTTTTAAATGGATAAATCCAAAAACTTTCTCCAGCTCAATAGATGCCCCAAGATAGGGATAGCAGCAAAATCTTTCTTTATAAAAGAAAATAGAATTTTAAAAAATAAAAAATAAAATTTCTATATATTGTAGAATTGACTTATAAAGAAAATAATAATAATAATAATAATAATAATAATAATAATAATGGTTTTGTTAATAGTTAATTGGATTCTTTGTTCTTTATGGATGTGGGTGTCTAATTTGGGAAATCAAAATGAAAACCTAGGAACGGAATTCCCAAATCTAATAAAGCTTGATTTCATTCCAAATAATATATTAAAAGGAACCAAATTTTGATGACATAGATATAAATGGATAAACCGACCATAATCAAACACATTTTTAAAAAATAAAATAAGTTTTTTTTTGGCCCACCCAAATCTTTCTTTTTCCGTAAAAATACACAATTAAATAAGTAAAGTTTATACTCATACATGTATAAAGTTTTTTTTTTTTTGTTTTAACCATTTTTGAAGCAGTAATTTTATAACAATTCAAGCTCACAGCTAGTAAATATGATCCTCTTTGGTATTTTCCTTCCAGGACTTCTAAGCTAGTAAATATGAGCTTAGGCTATTACAAATGATATCTAAGCCAGACATTAGGTAGTGTGACAACGAAACCACTAGCCCCTAAGGGGGTGGATTGTGGATCTCTCTCCCTAGTAGACGTGTTTTAAAACTTTGAGGGGAAGCGCTTGAAGGAAAAACATAAAAGGAACAATATTTACTAGCCGTGAGCTTGAGCTGTTACCCGCCAAAGTTTTTCTTTTGAGTTTGAAATTGGTTTGGAGGGAGCTAAGCTATCCTCGGTTGAGTGTTGAAGTTATATTTGATAAGGGAAGAAAATGCTGATAAATAAATATCAATAAAAGAGAGAATAAATTGAGTTGGATGGTGAAAAAGATGGGAGAAAAAGGAAATTTGATCTGATTGTAAAAAGGAATTCAGAAGTACTTAATGAAAACCGTACAAAGGACACGTCTCTCTTAGTTTATTCTTTACATTTATGCAAAGATTCGAAGCTGTGAGCATTTTCAATCACAACATGGTTGCATGACGAATCAACTATAAAGCCTTCCCTTCAAAAGTGTGGCTTGGAAGACTCCAGGTCCCTCAAACAAAATGAAAATTCTCATATTTTCACACCATTTTCTCTGATTCTCCCTCCTCACACTTCCCTTATAAATACCCCTTTTGGCCACTTCATTTCTCACTTCAATCTCAGTAACTTCTTCTTCTTCTGTGCTTACCCTTTAAGCCATTTCTTGTTCGGAATTGGTTTGTAATCCCATTTTCAAGATTGTTTTTGAGTTAGCAATGGAGACTGTGAACAAGCTGGTGTCAGACAGACCTGTCGTGGTGTTCAGCAAGAACAGTTGCTGTATGAGCCACACTATCAAGTCACTCTTGTGTGACTTTGGAGTTAACCCGACAGTGTACGAGCTCGATGAGCTCCCGGGAGGGAAAGAAATTGAGCAAGCTCTCATTCGGATTGGTTGCAATCCTGCCGTGCCTGCAGTGTTCATCGGCGATCAACTGGTCGGTGGCGCGAATGAAGTGATGAGCCTTCATCTTAAGCGGAACTTGATCCCCATGCTTAGAAGGGCTGGTGCTTTGTGGGTTTAGAGTTCTTGTTCAACTCCCTTTTAACTTATATATCTATATGTAACCTTAACATAGCCAAGCTTTACCATAGGCATCCGCCCAAAATGGCACAGAGAGTTTACTTCAAAAAGTCTTTATGTAAGTCCTTTTTTGGTGACTTCATTGTAATGTAATGTTTTGGTTTATCTAGTAATAAACTTCAAAAAGTACAAGAACTAAGTCCTTTTTTGGTGACTTCAATGCAATAATATATGAGAGAAAGAGATAGAGGAGAGCACCTGGTTCCTTAACGATGGCTTTAACAAGTGATATGATCAAGTAGGACTGAAATCCATTAATAAAGCAACTGAAAATGAAGTTCCGTGACCATAAAGGCTTCTGTCTTGACACAAAAATGACATCATAAGTTACACAAATGTATACACAGGTTTCTACAGGAATACAAACAATTATTGTGTACATGAGTTACAAGAAAAGAGTACCTCTCTTCATTTGTCACTTCATTAGGTAAGATAAATACATACCGTGAAGTCATGGAATCATCTCGGTACAAAAATGACCCTTTTGCAGCCACTCAATTGGAATGCTTCGACGATATCGACATCTTTTGTCCGAACTTGACAATGTAACTCTCTATCAGCAAGTGGAAGAGATTTACCCAAATGGCTGTGACTTCAGGATACAATTTGAGCATAACAACTTGAGACACGTATGAGTTACTATTTACTCTTCAAAGAAGAATTGGAGGGCCGTAGTCGAAATCGTTTCTTGTAAAAGTAAACATTGTGGATTGAATTGTTACTCATAAAAGTTCAGTTTCTTCTTGGTCTCCGTCGGCATCATCGACCTCATTGTCTTCATCATCGTCAGGTGCATCTGGATCTACTCCCTGCAATATTAAAATGTTTCAAAGGAAATGCATTTCAATGAGCTGTTCCTGTTCTAATGCCCACTTCCCACTAAAGAAAAAAACATGGTGAGGGACTTTTCTAAGACAAGACCGTGCTTGAATGAGGCAATGTTCATCAACTTATTGCTTTGAAGAAAAATTTGAAGCATTTAGAGGTTTCAGATCATGAAAAAATTTAAGGTGAAAGCAACCTTCATTTGTTTCTCTAAGCGCTCTAGACCTTTTTTGGCAGCTTCATTCTGGGGATTCATCCTGTATATGATCAATAAACCAAATATATATATGACATATGAAGGAAGGTAACGGTCAGTGAATACCAGTCCAAAAGCAAGAAAGCAGTAAAATGAATAAAATTAGAAAAGAACTCCACAAATTAGGGTTATGTTGAACTTGTAAAAGCTAGACTGTTCCAGTAAGAAACATAACATCCTCACAGCATTCTGTTCGAGATCCATAAAATCATGAGCCATCATGGCTCGTTCATGGGGAAACTGATGCTTACTAATGCCTGTGTGGGGTCGATGAGACTCCAATGGTCATGGTGTATCAACATAAGCGTGCAAGGGAGAGGGTGCGAGGGAGAGGGAACCGTGAGATCCCCAATTGTGAATACATACGCTAAGAGGTGTAGTAAGGGAAATAACCACCAGATTATTAATGAGTGGGAACATCGTAGTACGTTGGCGTCGGAGTGAGGACTAGCTATTAGAAGGGAGTATTCTCTTTTGGGTTGGCAGGCTTTCGTTTGAAAAAGAACTGTAATTGGGGAGGAGAGGCTGGCACTTACCAGCTCTCTGTTAAAGTTCTTCATGTTACTGTGATTTCTGTTATTACTTTCTCGATTCGAGCAAAACTTAAGGGAGATGCCTTACAGGAGCGTGATGGAATAGTGTTAGTTGGTGCCACGGTCCAACTTGGGGTGAGAGAGTGAAGCGATGATATATATAAGTCATATCTGTAAGTGTATAAGCTAAGTAGCTTCGGTTCACTCTTAAGACATGAGATTACCAGTAGAACAGGAGGAAAACAATAGAATGCATTGTACGTAAGGTTTCACCTTAATGCAGCTTGATAGTGAGATAAAGCCTCTTGCAACATATTTGTGGCGGCAAATACTTGAGCTAGTTTTACGTGAAGAGAATCATCAGCCCAGTCCTTAAGGTATCTCTCCAGTAAGGACACAGCATCCCCATTTCGGCCTTCAATAACATGGAGCTCTGCCAAAGCTAATGCCGCTCCGAGGTAACCGGGTTCGAGCCTAAGGGCTGACTCATAAAACTTCTTGGCCTATAAAAAAAATTCCATGCCATATCCACATATGAAATCCACTTGCTAATGGCATTCTCCAAGTCTGAATTACTACAGAACAAATCTTTAAAACATATACCTTCTCTCTACCACCTGAGTTACTAGCATGTACATCTCCAACTAGTTTCAGAGCCTTTGCAGATTGAGGCATCGCTTTCATTGCCTCCCGGGCAGCATATAATGCCTCTTTCATTTTCGACAGAGCCAGATAGGAATGGACCAAGCCTGCAGCCAAAAGTGAATTCCTAACCGTAAGAAAGTTCGAGTGTCTTAGACAACGAAATCCATTTTTAGACAGTTACATTGCGTTGATAAACGCAAAATACCAATAATAAAATGAATGGAAGGGTTGTATATACTGTATGATTCTTTCCCCTTAGAGTTGCACCTTGATATGAACGGATATCAGGTCTCAATTCTTGAGCATTCCTGAAAGCACTAACAGCTACTTCCGGCTGCTTCATAGCTAATAAAAGGTTTCCCTGAGAGTAGAAACTAGAAAATTGAGATTGTTGCAATTCTGGTAAGCATTCTATTTGGGTTCTTTGCATACGTTTATTTCGTTACCTTCATGATGAAACCCGCTACATGCCTTTCATCCGTTCGGATGCTCTGATTATTAGCAGTACAAATGTTAGTAAATATTAGAAAATTAACAAATCTCAGAGCTCTATTTAGATAACAAACCTTTTCAGCATAAGTCAAAGCTCCCCTCTCATCTTTCGTTTCCCACAATACAGACAGAGCCACAAAAACTTCTGGTCTTGTAGGATCAATATTTAACAAGTCATGGACTAACTTGTTTAGCATTGAATAATCAGACTTTTTCTTGAGAATCATTGCATATTCATCCATATATGTTAGAAGATATGGATCAATTGATCGTGCCTGTAATGGCATTAAATTAAATAGTCATTGGGCAACAAAGCAGTTGATCGTTATCATAATAATACTGAAATTTCACATTACCTTTTCAAAATTCATGATGGCCTCATCGTTTTTTCCTATGACAGCTTCAACCTGGACACATAATTGTCAACTTATCAATCAGGTGGGAAGGTCGCAAAATTTTCATTTTAAATACTGCCTTCAAAATAAATAAACTTAGGTTTGTTATCACAAGAACCCGCCTTTGCAATTTCAAGTAGCAGGTGAATATTATTGGGAAAACGTTGCAACAAGTCCAGAAACAGCTCCAAACCACCTGCATAAGTTTAAAAAGGAAATAATAAATAAATCTTTCGAGAAATGAGAAAGTTAGTTGATGTCCGAACTTCTCAAATGATCCACATTGTATATCGTTTGCATAAGAGGATGGATAATTTCAAGTGCTTACAGGATAAAGTGACATAAATTATGTATAGATTTGATAGTCTGAACGGGAAGATAGTATTTTACCTTTGTAATCATTGGAAGCAATGCAACACTGGGCCTCAACATAGCGCTGCAGAAAATTTAGAAAAATTAGCAGTTTTCTTAATTTAAGAAACAAAATGAGTTTTTAAAAAATAAAGGGAAAATAAATACATGAAATCACTGTAATCTGATTAAGAACTTGCTCATAATCAATATTGCAGATTGCACAATTTGTTTGTACTTGCAATATAAGAGCAAGAAAAATTATTTGGTAGACTACTATTTGAACATCCAATTTCTGATTCGGACATTGCACGTGATCAAATACAAGGCTGTACTTATCCATTACATTTGCTCAAAACGACTGGTAAAAACACAAGCATATAATAAGGTTTTATGTTTGGTCCGTCTCGCTAACAAGGGGTAGTAGACTACTATTTGAACATCCAATTTCTGATTCGGGCATTGCAAGTGATCAAATACAAGGCTGTACTTATCCATTACATTTGCTCAAGACGACTGGTAAAAACACAAGCATATAATAAGGTTTTATGTTTGGTCCGTCTCGCTAACAAGGGGTAGTAATAATTAGACATTCCAATCTTCTCCTTGTTGAGTGGAAGTTTTCTTCCAAACTCACACCCGCAAAGCTTAAAAGCTTGCCTGTATCAGAAGCTTTCTGATTAAGCACACAAGGGGTTTCATTTCCCAATTAAAGGCAATGGTAATGGATGAAAAGTAGAAGATAGTAGCTTATCTCTTCAAACACTTACTAGCAGCCAGCGATTTGAATCAAAGTGATCAAAAGGAGTTTTGCCACTTCTAATTGGAGTCTGAAATCAAAATTGGAGGACATCAACATTACAAGTAAAACTTTACCAAAGAAGCAGGGTCCACACACGCTCAACAATGAATATAGTAATAGAACTAGAAATGAGCGACTCAAAACTAGAAAAGGGGACTGCCATGTTTTGACACCTCGTAAAACCTATCTTAAGCATCAAGGTCTGCAGATTCTGAAACCCAAACGTAGAAATGAGCATGCAAATAGATTTACAGGACTATCATATGGCATTCAGAAACTTAGGACCGCGAAAAGATGTAACTAAAAACTAAAAATGACGTGTTTCTACATTCAGTTAATGCTTTTCATCAATATATTTGCAAGCAAACCTGAGGGAACAAAGAAATGATATCTTTGGCAGCAACACCAAGTTCTGCTAAAGCTATAATAGCTTCAAACACATAAGGGCAATGTCTGTCAAAAAAACAATAATTAGAACAGCATGAACGCTAATCTTTGTAATGGGAGAAAGTATCATAGTTTTGGTAAAAAAGCACGCAATCAGTAAGCTGGGGAAACAACAGCCAGTGAAATTATTAAGTCTACTAGGGAGAGGTTTCCACACCCTTATAAAGAATGCTTAATTCCCCTCTCCAACCGATGGGATCTCACAATCCACCCCCCTTCGGGACTCAGCATCCTCACTGACACTCGAACCCCTCTCCAATCGATATGGGATCTCACAGGATCTCACTCTAAAAGCTCTAAATAAATTAAAAACATATATTAAAATATGAAGACTACTTATTCCACAACCACAAAGCACTTTTTCACT